AAAATACAAGAATAAATGATTTTAGTACAACAGTAAAAGAAAATAAAACAAAAAGTGTACAAAAATGTGATTAATATTTAGATATTATGATCTAGATATCAAAAAAATAATGATATACACTAAATATAATTGTATAATAGGATACAATATAAAAATAAAGAGACAAATTAATTTGATCATCATTGAGTTATATAATGTAACATTTAATGTTCTTTGTAATACATCTTAATTTTTATTGATCAATAATTAAGTAATTATGAATTTTTTTGATGAAATGATAACAGTACTAGATTTTTGAATGCTAAGTGAAAGCCAGATTTACGAAGAATATCATTAGATATTGAAGAATTATTAAAGAAGTATGATTTGATAAAGAAGTTTTTGATAGTTGTTGACAAGAAGAGAGAAAAGGGAATATTTGTGTATAATTTGAATTAAGAAGAGATTATTGAAGTGAGTTTGAAGTGTAATATGAATAAAATATTGTTAATAATAAGTTGTGAAGAGGGACAAGACCATATGTGATCATTGATTTCAGAATGAAGATAATATCAGTTACAGATGTCATGAATATAGAGATGTGATTTGTGTTTGTACAGAATAGATAGTGTTGAAAGGGAATTATGTAAAAGTTTGATGAAGTATGATTAATATTTGAAAGTTGATGATGATGTAATAAGTAATTGTATTCCAAAATCTTGATTCTATACAAGAAATATGACTTTTCAGTTAATAGTAAGCCAATAACTGTGGTTTATAAGATTATTTTTGAGAGCATGTATTTGCTATCTGAAAAAGATTCTTTTTTTGTCTTGTAATTATATTATTTTAACAAGAAATTATTAGTTATATTTTATTTATTATTTATATTATTATTTTTGTTATTTAAAAATGCCAAAAAAATATTATATTATTTTGATTTTTGTATTGTTAATCTAAAAGAGATAGTATTTGTATATAATTATTATTATTAGTACTTTGAAAAAGTTTTAATAATTATTTATTTTAATTTTATTGATTTCTTATTAAAGTTATATTTAATTATATTATTTTATTATTTGATATTTGAATTATAAGTTTTGATAGTTTAGTAATTTAATCTTTTATATAAATATAATTATTTTGAAATATAATCAAATTTCTTTATAGTCATTATTTTCGAAAAAACAAAATTTGAAAATTTTTTTACTATATTTATATATAAATAGGAAAGCAAAATAGAATAATTATAGAGAGATGTGACTATAAATAAATGTGACTATAGAGAAGTTTGACTATACTTTCATATGTAAAAGCTCAAAATGATAATAATATCAAAACTTTATTGAGTTTTGAAATCTCTTATAATCAAAATTTTGCTAAAACTCTAATTAATAATTAATATATAATTTGTTAAAACTATCAAAATATTTTTGGAGAAATTTTAATAGATATTCTAATATTAAACAATAAAAATCATTATATTTTATTAAACAATAAAAATCATTATATTTTATAACAAATATAAAATTAAACTTAATGAATTTTTTTTAGAAATTTATTATATATAAATCAAATAATTTTATTATTAAAACAAAAACAAAAACATATTTTATATTATGTTTTTTTATTAAATATTAATGATAATATTTTTGTTTATTTCTTAAAAATTAAAGTTCCTTGAAAATGATTCATAATAGAATTTTAGTTAAATTTAAATTGCATACTAATTTCAAATACTAATAATTATTTATTGAAAATAATTCTAATTTATTAATAACATTAATGAAAATTAATGAATTAAGTCTATTGATAATTAAAGGTATGCAAGCTGCAGTTTATTAATTCAGTACAATTACTAAATCTATAGTGCATACAACTTAGTTCCAATCAAAAATTTTTAAGTGACCAAATTCTAAATATTAATCATATATTAATTTAATAATTTTATTAATAAATATATAATAAAAAAAATTATTTGTATTAATTTTATATAAAAGTGACCAACTTTTAATTTAATAATAAAATTATTATATATATATATAATCTAAAAGTATAGTTTTGTTTAACTCAAATAGTTCTATCATTTTATGAGTAGTAGTAATTTTAAATTTTATTAAATTTAGTAATTTTAAATTTTATTAAATTTAGTAATTTTAAATTTTATTAAATTTAGTAGTTGGGACTAAGTTGTGTGCACTGTATAACACTGATTCATAAAAAAAACTTAAAACCGTGTCATATAAAGGAAATCAGAAAACTTGTAATCAAGACTGAAACATTTAATGTTTAGATTTTCAATCCAAACCGGTCAAAGATAATGAAAAATGTTTATTTTAGGTTAATAACCATATAAGCAAATTCCGGCCCTTTCACAATTTGTACCAAAGTCAATACAGTCATAAGGGCCGGGAATACTTAAATGTAATCTATCTAATAATCAACTTACCATTTCCAATCAATACACCCCATAACTATTGGGATGTTCGATGTCCTGTAACCACACTTTTATTCAAAGTTACACTCTCTCTCATCGTGATCACTCCAGTAATCACAGATGATGGTTGGTCGGGATTAATATCGATGTCCGATTGGACAGCGGCGACGTAAGGGCTAAACAGGAAAGCCTGTTGTCCGCATTTCAATTGCATTGCTTGTTGAAATAGGTTATAGATATTCTCGAGAGCAATGTGTTCCATCAAAAATTTCGACCAGGCTGGCGACGAAAAGTGGTGCAGAATATGAAGATCGGAGTTATGAAGTATAGGCGGAGGTAATAGAGTAGGATCGTGCGTGGCAATCACGAGTCTCGCGTTATGCTGATAGAGATGAGACTGAATACGTTGCAAGGTTTCCGCAAGTTGCGAATCCGATGTGAAAAACTGTAACCAATTAAATACAAAATGAATATTTGCTAATGAGAAGGTTTAGTTTAAAAGAAAAAGTTACCTTGTGAGCTTCATCCAAGACCACAAGTTTTCCATCATTTGCATGTTCGGGATTATTCGATCGGATATAAATTTTGAGGATGATGTCAAAAAGGATTGATACCATTTCTTTATTCAACACATTATCACTCAAATCGGCAATGACTGTCACACCCGGCTGGAATAATGCTTCCAAGGGTGTCACCTTATCCAAATCCATTTTCCAGAATCCTTTTTGTTTTATGGATTGCGTCAATTTTTCGGTGATAAAAGAGTCTAAGCGTTTCAGACGTGACGTAAAGAATTCTTTGAGAAGAAGGGAAGAGGAGGTTCGTCGCAAAAGAAGATTACAAAATGTATTGTAATCAAAGTAATCTCCCAAGTCGTATAGGATGTCGTCAACTAGTTCGACACATTGATCGTAGATTTGTGCGTCTCCTTTGATTGTAAGCCATGCCTTTTTTTGAATAATAGATCAAAGCTCTTTCAGAAAAGAATGATTAATGTAAGAGTAAATTAAAATTCTATTGTTTGATTTACCTTGACACTATTAATGGATAATTCGGTTTCCGAGAAAAATAAAGGTCTCACTTCACAATTCTCGATGTTTTTATAGTGTATACTCATTTTTCGATAGTTAGATGGTGATAGCAATACAATAACTTTATGCATTTGACATTTTTCTTTTATTGTTTCGATACTTTGTTGGGATGTGCCAAGAAAAGCTCTATGGGATGGTTGAGTGTTGGAAGTACTCTCGAATCGAAATATCAAGGCGGATAAAGGATTTTTTAATTCTCCCAGGCTGGAGTTTTGTATAAGGCTACCCTCAAGAATATTTTGTAGCATTAAGTCTACGCCCGAATTAGGCGTCCCAGTTATTACGCTCGAAAATGGGATATCAAGGTTGAGATATATGTTAGTGGGATCTGAATTCAGTTTTCCAAGTATTGTATAATTTTGATAAACTTCGGGGTTATTATTTTTGGTGGCATTATTAAAAATTGGACTTTTTTGAATGCGGTTATCCGGTGGATTATAATTAGGCACATTTTCCTCTAAGTTTGTCTTTGATTCCTGAATCGTGTTAATTGGTTGTTCAAGGTCAGAAGAGGATTCTTTATAATATTCGAGAAATGTTCTTTCTGAAGCTGTTAAATTATTTGTTGATAATACGTTTGGTAGTATAATATGTTTATCCAAGATTGGCACGTTATTCGGGACACTGGAGGTGATCAAGTCGTCGAAATCTATCAATGTGTTTGATTGAGTCGTTAGTGGTTTCGCAGGTTTCGTAGGCGGAGGAGAAAGTGGAGAAGGTAATTCTGTTTTCGAGGGAATGGTCGAGACATATTGAAATTCTTGAGGTGGTATCCCATCATTTTGGGTAAGGTTCGTATTGACACGTTGTTCAATGTGGTAGTTTGATCGAGTGTTAGAAATGGCAATAGCAGTATCCACGGCGGGAGGACGTGGAGTTACAGTTGCTATTGGTGCAATCTCTTTAGATTGCAACATGGGCGCTTCGACAGCAGCGATTTGTTGGTTTGCCGATGATGATATGACAAGATTGTCATTATCTTTTAATGGTGGTGATGTCATTTGTGTTGTCGTTTTTGTTGTTGCTGTCGTGATTGTGATATTTTCCCTTGCTGTTTTTTGTCGTTCCAATTCTGGTCCATGGTTAAATTCTAAAGATGAATCAGAATTTTTTCTGTGATTAATATTTCGTGAATAAATTTACTCTATTAGATTCAATTATTTTTTTACCTTCTCCATTAGCTGCAGCAGTCGTATTAATAGTTGTAGTCGTGATAATAGCCTTTGTAGGTTCTATGACCTGAGTAGTACTCTTCTCACTTTTATCAGCAAATAACTCCGAAAATTTTCTTGATGTTTCTTCATCAATTACTTTATTTCCGATCATCGTTTTGAATTTTCGGGGATTCAAAGTGACATAAACATCCGATGATTTTCCATCTTTATTCTCCAACAGAAAATCCGAACTATTTTTGAGTAACTCTACAATTTTAAATTCCGGAAATGCCCCCGTCCAATTCAAGTGAGTTGTCACAACCGAAAGCGGAACTCTTCCTCCTTCAACATTAATTAACTTTCGTACGTAATCAGTTGGTGATTTTTCAGTCGGGAAAGGTTTGAATTCCACAAATATATCATTTGTGCCTTGCGCAAACTGAAATTCAGGAAAATCCTCTAAAAGATCTAGAAGTTTTGTTCGGAGATTAGCATCGGAACGTTTCAAGTAGTCACCAACAACTGACATCCTTATTTGTTGCTTATCCCGCAAGAAATTGCGACATGATCGCACGATCTCTATGTCATGAGAACGAACCCATTGAATTCCTGATTCAGTTCTGATCACGTATTCGGGGCATTGATCTAAAAACTTTTCAAGCGTTATCTTCGGTAACATGTCCATACGTTTCAAGTATTCATGTAGCTGCGAAAATTTCACTCTACCAAACTCCATTATATATCGTCGAATATGACAGATAAAGTTTTGATCGGTTGGTTTGAGCCGTATAAATGGTTCAGTGTCAAAATTCTTGAATAAGAATTCCTCTTTATGCTGTTGAAGACAAGCAAAGACATTTACCTGCTGATTTGATAAATGGCCACGAACTTGCTTCTCTATTTCTGAATACGTAGCAATCCCCAGTTTCAGAACACATTCTCGAATAAGCACCAAAGTGAAAGCCTTTGACCCACGAAATTTGCCAAAAGCAACTTTCTGTGCCAAAGATTTAACGTGCGGTAGTACTCGCACGTAACACATATCTTCGTACATGTCACATTCAAAAGTCCGTGAACAACTTTTGAGAAATTCGGCAAGTTCGTCTGTAATTGTCTCTTGGTATCCTCGAAGATGAATAATTAATTCTTTGATTGACAATCCCTTTGGAGTACTGTTCTTTAATACGTACTCTTTGACAAGGTTTTCTGTCAATTTCATGCGACTAGAGAGCTTGGAGTTATGTACTCCCGTGGTGTTAGCCTTTACTAGTTTTACACTTGTAACACCTCTACTATTAAATACTTGAAATACACCACGATATTCAGTCAAAAATTTCTTGAGAGTCCTCTCCCTGTTGCTATTGCTAGCTGCCTTGTTTTTCTCTGACTCAAATTGAAACCCTTGTGTTTTCAAATAACGTTCCAACTCAAACACAGAATCTACTTGATAATTTTCCAAGTATTTTCGCGCAGTTTTAATGATATTCATATCGATCTTGGAAATTGGAGATTTTGGCGAAGAATTAGAGCGAGATCCTTTATTGACGGTTTCGATTGACACAACACTATTACCACCACCATTGATTTTACCACCATCATCTCGAAAAGTAGTAATGCTTGAATTTGTAATGCTCTCATTGATTTTCGCAGTAGAAGTAGCACTAAATGCTTCATCTTCAGATAGATCACTGATTTCACTTATATTTGATCCGTATGAAAAATTTCTATAATTGAGTCCATTAATGCTATTAATCATACTAACCACACTTTCGCTGCTTCCACAATACTGTTCCCCTTTTTTGAGTTGAACCATGACTTGACTATTGTAACCTTTGATGAGCTCGAAAAGATCCGCACGTTCACTTAACACAGACTTTAGCTTCTCCGAGGTGGTTTGAATATTTTGGGTTGGTAGCCATTCAGCGAGCGCGTCAAGCGTTATTTTGAAGACGAAGTCGTCATTAAAGTAAGTCTGCGTGGCTTTAATTATCGATTCTGAATTGGAATCCATATTTTTCGAACTTGAGAAAAGAATGAATGTTACTTTTTTGTTGAACCTCTTATAAGACGAGAAGTAAGGGTGCGATCCTCCTTCACACCAGGTCTAATACAAAGTGAGAAGTGAAAGGGTCTAGATATTCGTTTTGGTGTCCCTGTCCTTTTATTTTGACATGTATCTCGGCAAAAAAAGTGCCAAGATCATTATCAAAAAATATCTCACTAATGATCACCCATTTATTTTCACGTGATGCGCATA